TCCTGTGCACACTTAAACCTGTATATCAGTGTATAAAATGTGTATATAGATGGTATACAGCTTCTTCAACACCTGCAAACATAATTTTACAGCACCATATTTGTTGTTTTCAAACTGCAATCAGCTTTAGCTTTCTAGACTTTGAAATGGGGGGCTGACTCAAGGATCTGTGCAACTCGGAGGAATGCGAGAATGGGGTCAAAAGTGGACTCGAATCGATGTCACATGCAATAAAACGAAAATGGATTAGCACATGAGATAATATAATAAACGAGACACATCTTGAACAAAAGCAAACTTTACAAGAAATCAAAAAAAACTACTAAAGGGATTCCAATAAACAAGAATGCATGGCTCGAAAGAAAACCAAGTAAGCCAAAAATGGCACCAACCAAACCTCCAAAATAAAAATAAAAGACAAAGAGGAAATTTGCAACAGCATGCAGGAAAATTCATACACTGCCAAATACAATCATATTCATTGAATGCACACAATTAATGTCCAAAAGAAGGGTTAAGAAACATCAAGATAGATGCTATGAATGAATGGCGAAGAGGAAATTAATGGATGTTCTATTGCAAAAGAGATGTTTTCCACAGAGATTAGGTGATAAATCGAATGATAATAGGCAGCCAAATGATACTAAGAGCAAAGAACAATCAAAGAATCTCCAAAATTCGTAGGGATTTCTTATACTTATTAAAATTTAAGTATATAAAACAAGCTTGGAGTAAAAAAAAAGAACAAAAAAACAAGAGGGGAGGGAAAGAGGGATAATTTGCACATTAATAAGTAAAAAAAAAAGGCAAACTGCAGTGAGCAAAATCTAACAAAATGCCCCGTTAAAGAAAGTTCAAGAGAAGAAAAGATATCAAAAAAGAAACAAGTACATAGTACTAAGCTTAAGAAAAAGAAAAGCAGCAATAATAGTGCTTTGAGGACTAATTGAAACAAATTACAGAACTTCCTGATCCTTTTTTACAAACTTGAATAACAAGATTAACAGAGTAAGAGGGTTTATCAATGAAAATCAAACGAGAGAACTGAATGTCGAAACAACAAACAACACTAAACAGCAAACTAACTAATCTTCATAGACGCGAACTTGAACCAACACACATAACGGTTAATATATAATACTAGAGCGACTTCCATTAATACTCGAATCATGCTTAATGCTCAGAATGCACATAGAACCAACATTGGAGAGAAGATTCTAAAGCAAGGAAACCAAACGATTCCAAAGGGGACAGAACATTACTTATTCGCAAGAAAACTCTTAGAAAGAAGAAAAGGAAACAAAAGCAAAAAGCAGAAAAGAGAGAAGAAAAACAGCTATCTTGGCTACTCAAAAGCTCAAGTTAACATGATAAAAAACACAGGACACAACCATTGAGCCATTAAACAATAGGAAAATCACATTACTAGACAAGTTTACAGCAGAAACAAACCAGCTGAACTCAAAACTGCGAATTAAACAAAATTCCATCAAGGATAAATTAACATATGCATAAAAAACAGAGTTTACCTTTTCGAAAGCAGCGAACGAAAACAACGAGCTAGATAGAAAGCTTACACCACCGAAATAAACTTCGAACAGCTCCAAAGACAAATCAATAGACAGGGGAAATAGAATCGCGACTTTCAATCTCCTTGAAGTTTCTTTCTTGAACGTTCACACGTAAATGTGTATGATTGGCAATTCCTAACCTTCCTTCACTTTGTCACTTCTCTTATGTAAGTAGTAAAGGAAAAGGGGCTAAAAAAAGAAAATCCGAGAAGAAAAAAAAATCCCCCTCTTCAATGAAGAAACAGTCTATTTATAGAAGAACAATAGGGTTTTCAAAAGGAAAAGGCTGGAAAATGCCATTTCAGGCCCATCCCCATTTTGAATTTCAAACTCCAATCTTATCAAAAAGCTGAGGGAATATGTCGATTTTGATGCCCAAATTCCCAACGGATTGGGAGGCGAGGTGGAGGGATAGGATGGTCTACATCGTCCTTGGAGCTATGTGTTCCAATCTTGAGGGCACAAGGACAGAATTTCAGCGTCCTTCGCTTCAAAGATGCGTGTGTACTGTTGTACGAATTGTAGAGGAAGACGACAGAAAGAAGTTGTTGCTTACTTGCGAATTAGCCAATGCCTCAGCTCGCGTGAGGCGCGTCGTTAGAGGGGTCATTTTCTGGGAGTCGCATGAAGAGGCTTTTTGGAGGGGATGAAGAAGAACGTGGGAATTTCTGTACGTAAGGCTGTTTGGAGGGGATGAAGGCAAACGTGGGCCGGATCAAAGTGACAAGGAAATGGGCTGGGAAAGAGAATTGGGGTTGGGCTGAGAAAGTAAGAAGAGTGGGAATTAATTGAAATGGGCTAGGAATAATAAAGTAGTGGGCTGAAAAACTTGGCAAGAAGGGAGTACAATTGGGCGTGGGAATTAAAGGGATTTGCAAGAATGGCCAAAAATTGAATTAAATTGGAAATTTAAGATGGGTTAATTTAATAAATATCTAAATTGAGTTAAGATGATAAATTTGGCTAAACCTTAAATAAATTGATTTAGTATTAATTAATCAACGAGCTTCTTTATTTTAGTAGTATAATTATTTTAATTGTAAAATTGTGATTCAAAATATAACCTTAATTTAAACTAAATTAGTTTAATAGATTTTTTTACTAGAAATTAAAATATTTTGAGAAATAATCGTAAAATATACTAATTATATACATAATTATGTAAAATATATATTTTTTCTAAAAATTATATGAAAATGAGAAAAGTTTTCAAAATAACATAAAATTCATACATTATTATTTTTTTCGCAAAATTTATAAAACTAATTATTTTAAATTGTTAGAAAATTTAAGAAGCTCGAGAACTAATTTTACCGAGGATGGTCAAAATTGGGTGTCAACAATTGTCCCTCATTTTACATGGATTGATACAAGCAATTCGAGGGAAATGAAATTGACCAAACCAATTTTGACCAATCCTATTCATCTTTAAGGGAAGGATTTGTCAAAAGGGTTTACGAATTATGGCCGAACCATTGAAACGGTTTTTCTAAATATCTCAGGCTATATGAGAATTCAGACCACTTGTAGTTTGATAAGCTTGGTTTAACGCATGATTTTTAAAGAATCCAAAAGCCACCTCGATACCGAATTGTGAAGGTATCGAAATGCTCGAGAATAAAATTCGAGAACGAATGTTGGAATACTCTTTGTAGTTCGACTCGATCGGTTGAAAAGGAAATCTATTATGTTTATTAACCTTCGGTTTTGGACAAGTGAAAAATCAAACGAGTATGAAAAAGAGGCTTATAACCTCTTGGCTATGAATGTGGAGCTCTTCACATCAATAGGTAAGAACTTACACGGATATAATTTCCAAAACTCTTGGTGTATCATCACTCAGATTCGAAAGTTGCTTCTGGTAAATCGAAGATTCCGGATACGAGACTGAAACTGACAACACTAAAGAAGAACCCACATGTCTTTGATAAGGGCGGTTAGATTGTGGTGGAAGTCGCTCCTCTGCTGGCATCCTAAGAGTTTGACATTCCTCTTTGGATTGTGTCCCAGTTCGCTGCTAAGAAAAGTTCTACATTGTGTTGCATCCCTTTTGATGTCGTCCGCACCTGTGGTTATTGGAGAATTCATCCTTTTGGATGCTCTCGACAAAGACAAAGATAAAAACTCGTTAGTTTAAAAATACAATTAGGATAGGAGACAATGTCTTTTTTACCATGTCGACACTTTATTGTTCTCCTTAGTATTCGACATCGTCTCGATCGGTCTGACGTACAACAAATAAAGCTTATGCCTGGTGTTTGCAATATAATCTTCAATGTTCTCTTTACTTGATGTTGAAATAAATAAATAAATGATGATGTGATGTCGATACTTCTTTTGATGTCGTCCTCGATGCTCATCTAGATGTTTACTTTTATCAAAAATAAATGAATGAAGTTGAGGCCAATGGATAAATATCTCTCTTGGGATACACGATTTCTCTTTCTTTATCCATGCATGCCTTTTTCCGGGGCATGAATATCTTCTCGTGATACATAAATTCCTGCGAGATATGAAATCTTCTCGCAATGCATAATTTCGACGAGGCATGAAATCTTCTCCTGATGCACAAATTTCAACGAAGCATGAATTCTTCTCGTGATGCATAAATTTCAGTGAGGTATGAATTCTTCTCGCTATGCATAAATTTCAGCGAGGTATGAAATCTTCTCGCGATGTATAAATTTGACGAGGCATGAAATCTTCTCGTGGCGCATAATTATTGACTCACGATGCAGGATTTCCCGCATTGCATGATTTTGTGCGATGCATGATTTTCAACGAGGCATGGATTCTTCTCATGATGTATAAATTTCTGCAAGGTATGAAATCTTCTCATGATGAATAAATTGACGAGGCATTAAATCTTCTCGTGATGCATAATTATTGACTCACGATGCATGATTTTCCGCGATGCATGTTTTTTTGCGATGCATGATTTCCCGCGATGCATGATTTTCCGCGATGCTTGATTTTCTGCGATGCATGATTTTCTGGGATGCATGATTTCCCGTGATGCATGATTTTTATATTGCAATGCATGAATATTCATATCGTCTCTGTTGATCATAAAGGCAAGACGACCTCCAAATAATATATCGCCTTGATCGATAATAATAATAATAATAATAATAAAATAACTATCCCCTCTGGGGTAATGCATTGTCTTAATTGACAATAACTATCTTGTTTGCTAATGTAATGCAAATAGCGTCCTTTACGGAAATCGTAAGCTCTTCCTTGAGATTCTTGTTTGATTCACCTTTGAATCTGGCTAGACGCTCTTTGTAAATTTCATATTGTTGGAAATTGATTGGAATAAACAATTCACATTCCCAAGTCTCTAACATAAGCGATATAAAATGCTTCCTGCTTTCAGGAAAATGATTTATTTTGGGATAGTTTTATCCTCTTCAGAGTTCTCCATGTTCATTCGTCAGGAGAATTTGCTGATTTCAAAGCAAAGCTATAAACCTGCGTCCACAGAAAAATTGTCAGTTTTAAAAACATACTGATCTGTGTCAATTTCTTCAGTAGTTTACTCCTTGTCTTGATATCTCTGGTTGATTTCCCGTTCTCCCAACTCTTGATAGATGAGACAAAATATTTTATGTCAAAATGAATGAAACATAAAAGGAAAAATTTATAAGAAATAAATTTTAAGAAAAAGTATCTTGAAAAGGTCACTGCCAAGTCATGTCATATCAGGCTTAACAAACTTATTTGAGTCTGACACTTAGAGGTTTATCTGATCATTTGCCGGTGAGTTTTCGGAGTCACTCCAGACTTAAGAATAAAACCCATTATGAAATTTTGAGTCCATCCTCAAAATTTTTGTCCCAGTTAAGTGTCTTGCTTATCTTTCATTGTAACTGAACAGATCGTGGAATTTTTGAGATCTTCTCAAAAATTCTGTCCTAGTTGTAGATCTTGAAATATCTTTGGTTTGACTTGCTGAGGAGGAAACTTCTTTTGGAGAATGTTTGAGTCCCTCTCAAAAATCCTCTCTCAGTTTCTATTGTAAAGAGGAATAAAAATTTTGCAGGAGATATGACCGAACCCTTGTGGCGCCTACGTATCCCGTTGAGGCAGGAATAAGGTCAAACGTAGTTCCCCTTAAAGGTTTATAAAATAAAAGCATTTACTAAGAAAATCGACTGAGGCCTACATATGCCGCCTATGTATCTCATTCTTGAGAATTCAGGTCGAACGTAGTTCAGATACAAAGAGATAATTAAATGGTATAAATGAGGTGATCAAGGCCGACGTAGGCCGTCTACATATGTCATTCTTTAGAATTCAGATCAGAAGTAGTTCATTACAAGAGGGATAAGAATATAAGTGAAACAAATACAAGCAAATAGAACGATTACAGGTATATAACAGAAATCCAAAATGAAACTTCACACGTAGTATCTTTTGACAGCATCCGAGTTGATAGGTCTAGGCCATACAGTGCCATCCATCTCTGACAGGACCAAAGCACCTCCAGATAATACTTTACGAACCATGTAAGGACCCTGCCAATTTGGTGCGAACTTTCCTTTGTACTCGTCTTGATGATGAAAAATATGCTTAAGAACAATTGACCAACCTCAAAATTTCTGGCTCTTACTCTCTTATGAATGGAACGAGTCATTCTTGGTCTATACAACTGGCCAAGGCTGACGGAAACCATTCTCTTCTCATCAATCAAAGTTAGTTGATCAATATGCTTGCTAACCTATTCAACATTGCTTAATTCAACTTCTTGGATGATTCTCAATGACGGTATCTCAACTTTAGCAGGTATGAATGCCTCTGTTCCATATACTAGCAAGTATGGAGTAGCACCAGTCGATGTTCTGACTGTTGTTTGATAACCCAGTAAAGCGTATGGCAACATTTCATGCAAACCTCAATGTTAATCAATCATTTTCCTCAAAATCTTTTTAATATTCTTGTTGGCGGCCTATACAACTCCGTTCATTTGTGGGAGATAAGCAGTTGACTTTCAATGAGTCACCTTAAATTGCTCACATGTCTCTCTCATCAAGTGACTGTTGAGATTTGCACCGTCATCAGTAATGATGGATTTAGGCACTCCAAATCTACATATTAGATTGTTGTGAACAAAATCAGCCACCAATTTCTTGGTTACCGACTTGTGAGAAGCTGCTTCCACCCACTTGGTAAAATAATCAATGGCAACCAAGATGAATCTGTGTCCATTAGAAGTGGCTAGCTCTATAAGACCGGTGACATTCATTCCCCAAGCTACGAATTTCCAAGGTGAGCTCATAGCATTAATCCCGTGAGGTGGCACTCGTATCAAATCACCGTGCACTTGACCTCTGTGGCATTTTTGCACGAATTTGCAACAGTCATTCTCCATAGTTATCTAGAAATATCCGGCTCGTAGAATATTTCTTAACAAAGTGAGCCCATTCATAGGTGTACCACAAACTCCATCATGTATCTGTTCAATAAGCCTCACAGCTTTAACAACATCCACACATCTTAGAAGACCCAAATATGGAGTCCTCCTATAAAGGACTTCCCCACTTGGAAAGAAATTGAGAGCCATACGGCGTATCAACTTCTTCTGATTAGTTGTAGCGTCTTCGGGATAAGTCCCAGACTCCAAGTACCTCTTTATGTCTAAATACCAAGGCAAACCTTCTGGTTCGACTTCAACATGGAAACAATGGACTGGATGTTCTTTCAAGTCTATATCCAACGGGTCGATGTAATTACTATCCGAATGTTTAATCATAGAAAAGATGGTGGCCAGAGCATCAGCTAATTCTTTCTGTATTCTGGGAGTATGTCTGAACTCGATCTAACAAAACCTTTTGCACAACTTCTGCACATACTGTACGTAAGGTATAATCTTCAGGTTATTCACAACACATTCACCTTGAACTTGATGAATCAAAAGGTCTGAATCTCCAATGACCAATAACTCATAAACATTCATGTCGATGGCCATTTTCAAACCAAGAATACAAGCTTCGTATTTGTCCATGTTGTTTGTGCAATTAATTCAGAGCATAGCTGCCATGGGATTGTGCTGGCCAGATTCGGACACTAAGACTTCTCCAATACCCTTACCTTGATGATTTGCCGCTCCGTCAAAGAATAATCTCAAACCTGGGTATTCTTCATAAATGTCTTCGCCCACAAATGATACTTCTTCATTGTGAAAATAAGTCTTGAGTGCTTCATACTCTTCATCAATGGGATTTTCTGCAAGATGATCAGCCAAAACCTGTGCCTTTATTGCCTTCTGAGTCACATACACGATATCAAACTCACTCAACATCATTTTCCATTTGGCCAAATTTTCGGTCGGCATCGCTTTCTTGAAAATATACCTCAATGGATCCATTCTGGAAATGAGATATGTAGTATACGAAGAAAAATAGTGTCTCAATTTCTGGGCAAGCCACGTCAGAGCGCAGCACGTTCTTTCAAACAAAGTGTAACGAGACTCGTACGGAGTAAACTTCTTTCTTATATAGTAGATTGCCTTTTCTTCTTTCCTATCTCATCGTGTTGACCAAGTACACATCCGAAGGAACTATCTGAAACAGACAAGTACAGCAACAATGGACTCCCTTCTCGCGGAGGAACCAATACCGGTGGGCTGGACAAGTAGTTCTTGATAGCGTCGAAAGCAGTTTGACACTCTTTAGTCCACTTAGTCGGGGCGTCTTTCTTCTACAGCTTGAAAATAGGCTCACACACCACTGTTGATTGTGCTATAAACCGACTGATATATTTTAACCTCCCTAAGAAACTCATCACCTCTTTTCTTGTTTTCGGCGGAGGTAACTCTTGAAGATTTAATCTTAGAAGGGTCGAGCTTGATACCTCTTCTGCTGACTATAAATCCCAACAACTTCCTGGATGGAACTCCAAAAGCGCATTTGGCAGGATTTAACTTCAAGTTGTAACGACGCAAACGTTCAAAGAATTTTCTAAGATGTGTCAAATGATTCGAACTCTCACGGGATTTAATTATGACGTCGTCCACGTACACTTCAGTCTCTTTATGAATCATGTCATGGAAAATAGTAGTCATGGCTCTAATGTAGGTGGCACCGACGTTTTTTAGGCCAAACGGCATCACCGTATAGTGATATACGCCCCAAGGTGTAATGAAAGCCGTTTTTTCTGCGTCTTCTTCATCCATCAAAATTTGGTGATAACCTGCGTAACAGTCCACAAATGACTGCATCTCATGTGTGGCACAGTTGTCAATCAAAATATGAATATTCGGCAACGGAAAATTATCCTTAGGGCTAGCCTTGTTGAGATCTCTATAGTCAACACAAATCCTGATTTTCCCATCCTTTTTGGCGACCGGAACAACGTTGGCCAACCAGGTTGGATATTGTGTTACTTCCACCAATCGGGACTCTATTTGCTTGGTGATTTCTTCCTTAATCTGCAAACTGAATTCAGGATTGAATTTTTGAGTTTTTTGAGTTTTTGCTTCACCGGCTCGAACCCTGGGTTCATCAGTAGCTTATGAGACACGACATCGGTACTTAACCCTTGCATATCACAGACTTCCCAAACAAACACATCACTATAATCGGCAAGCAAATGAACAAGGCTCTTCTTCTGAACCTCATTTAGGTGGGTGCTGATCTTAACCTCTTTGATACATTACGAATCTCCCAAATTCACCGTTTCCGTTTCCTCTAGATGTGGTTTATGTTGATTCTCGAACTGTCAAAATTCCTCAGCGACGTAATTTGGTTCTCTACTTTCTTCTTCACAATTGTCAACCTTGTCGTTATTTGTCTCATTTTGTTCACTTAGCTCGTGACATGACATGACACCGGCAGGTCTGTAACTTATATTATTGAAATCATAACCAAACAAAATTAGGAAAGTAAACTATAACAAACAACTCAATAAATAAAGTTAAAAATAAAGAGGCTTTCATTTAAAACAATGCAAACTTTAGCCATGGCATGGGGCCATGTTGCCTCTTTGAACATCACAACGGAAATTTGAAAATTAAACAGTTAACAACAATGCAGAAATGGTGGGTCTCGGGCCTCCTCCAGACAACCACCGATTTTAGTGTGCATAAAGTAACATCCTTTCTACCGAAGAGTTCGGGACATCAAGAATGGCGTGGAAGTCCAGTTCTACAACACCTCCCCTGGTTCAACATCGCGAATACCAGCTAACTTGACCTCCTCCTCGACAACAACATCGATATCCTCAAAGAGGTCACAGATTCCTTTCCTAAAGTCTTCAGGCTCGGCATACTCTCGGATCGGAAAGGATTGATATAGATGCGGGATCGGCTTATCCAACTCTTGATCATTCTTCTTCTTCATCTTCACGTCGTCATCTGTGGGGATGTACCCCAAACCATATCTAGATCCCTTAACAAGGACAAGAACAGGCTCAATAATTCCTTGGGAATCTCTTCCTAATCAATCTCTTCCTAATCCGAAACGTGTCTCAAAACCGTTCTGGAGCATCATAGTGGCTATCATTTTGTATACGGCTGGCGTGGGGGTCTGTGGTTCATCGGTGTCATTCACCAGCTCCACCGTGTAAAAGTCTGTACCTATGGTATCTCATCAATGATCGGCACCTGCTTGCCCGAGAGCTCATCAGCAGGGCCCAGATAGAGATTTGAGCCAGAGTCTTCTCTAAATGTTTGACGATGGAATTGTCCTTCGATTGCATCCTTCTCCAAAACTTTTTCGCTTTTCCTTCACTTATCGTCCTCTTAGCATGGTCCTTTTTCTGTCCTCCGAGAGCAAGCTCATCAGGTGTGTAGCACCTTCCGGACCTGGTCATACCTTGGACCACAGCAATTTCGATGACAAACTTAGGCTTGACGAGAGTTTCTGAAGGCACCAAGGCAACAACCTTTGTAGGTGTCAGAATAACAAACTCTCTCCTTTCTTTGATGCTTAAAGAAGCGATAGCACCTTTCCATGTCCTCATACACAATAGGAGTAATCATCTTTGTTCTACACCCGTCTTCATCCGTTTCAATCACATTAACGTTGCCACCTCCATGATTTGGCAACGGGTTTGTATTGACATTTGGCGCCGCCGGTTGTAGAGAAACTATCTCCTGATCGATCAGATCCTCGATTTTGTGCTTACGGTTGATATAATCTCCCGTTCATGTCCAACACTGTTGGAATAATAAGTACATCTTTGATCTGACTTGTAGAACTTTGAATTGACATCCACGGGCTTGGGCCCTACAGGGTGGATGCATACAGCCGCGGCTTGATACGCTCAGACTTACTTCTCAAATAAGAAGTAAAGCGGTCGTGTCAAGTAAATAATCCAACTAGTGAGGTTGGGATCGTTCCCACGAGGAAAATAGTTTAGACTTCACTTCAATTTATTACTACTAATGTTCAGTCAATTACTTTCTTAGAAAGCAAAAATGATAAAAGGGGGGTTTCTATTCCTAAATAAATGAAAATAATTAGAGAAATAAAGGGAGACAACTAACAGCTTCAAATGTTGGCGTTTAATCAATTAATCAAAGTAACTAGGGTTTACGTGTTCCCCACAGGTTCATAACTTGACAAGTCTAACTATAACAATTCTTTCCTAGTATGTTGCATGCAAAGTGATAAGTTATGTATTTCTAAATCCTTGGTCCGGCATCTAGAAAATGTCAATCTGCACCTTGGTCCGGCTACGTGTGTTGCTATCCTAACCCTTACCTTTACCTCATATTAAGCATCGTATTCGATATATCACTAAGTTATTACCTCGTACCAATCGATACTAGCCTATTAGATAGTGTATGCTAAATCTATGTTGATAATTCTTTTCCTGTTATCTACTTCCTTGGTCCGGCAAGTAGCATCAAGGTGAGTTCTAACATTGGTCATCCGTTAAAAAGACTTCTAAGCGAAAGAATTATTAATACCTGCAGGACACTATTCTAGAATTGTTATTTTAGTTAGGTTTTACCTCATTATTTGCATATGGTTCCCACAACCCTAGCTATGGAGTTTAGTTACCCATAGTCATAATCACAAGATTCAAATATATGATATAAGAATTTATGTACTTACTTCAATGAGAAAGAGAAAAATCTAAAAGTTCGCTTGCTTAATCAACAAAAATCATGAACAATTACTTACAAGAATCTCAAAGTAATCAAGAATCTCACAAAAAGTCTAATGATAATCAAAAGCCTAACCAAATAATCAAGAGTCTAACTAATAATCCAGTGTTTAACCCCAAAAACGAGGTTCTTTGAACTATTTATAGAAAATAAAAAACCTAACTGAAAAAGGACTCTATTTGCTGGAAATCTGTCAAAACGCGGCTTGGTCAACGGACATCGCGAGGGATCGTCGTGGTCACGACGAACCGTCATGGACTCCGTCTTCCCATTCTTATGCAATTTCTTCTGCTACTCTCTTCATTACCCTCGACGGCAAGTATGACGAATCGTCACATGCCCAACGGTCCGTCGAGGGTCTTTGTTCCAAAACACCTAAACTCTTGGAATATGGGTACTGCGACTACTTCTCTGAACTTTATGACAAACCTGCAAGACGGACCGTCATAGACATGACGGACCGTTATGGACTCTGTAACCCCACACTTGGTCAGACTTCCCCATCTTCCTTCACCAGCTGCACTACGCTGCCACCTACGGACCGTCACAAGCTCCGTAGGTGGTCTCTTCTGCATTTCTTCGCCCAAAAACCTCCGCATTTATCTATGGACAGATTTCCTGCAAATAAGGAGAAACTTATATAAAAATTAGCACAAAAAGGCTTTTGGACACACTAAACTTAAGGAAAAAGTATTAATAATACCGTGAAACCACGGTATATCAAAAGCCTCAACTTAAATTCGTTGTTTGTCCTCAACGACGCACTATGACTCAATACACAATCTTTGTACAATAGTATCCATGTTTTATCCTTTGCAATCATTTGGCTATCAATCCCGATTAATGTCATCATA